CTGATTTATTTACTGCGAAAAATCGATACGATTAGCTTTCCAGACATTGCTGCGAAGAGCGACGGAAAGTTTCCGAACAAATACGAGCTCCATTATTTCACTGAGAGTTCATTATATATTCATTTTGCCGCGAACGTGCCACGGCATTTCTATCGAATGCGAATTTTTCGATCCGTATTATCAAAGATTCTCGTGATCGCGTGATCGTGATACCGATACGCCTGGTCAATTTAACACAAAATATTTAAATAATTACATTATGTTAAATTAATACTTAGATAGATATGTTCAAAATTTAACAGCGACTTGAGAGGACCAATTTTAACACAAATACTAACTGTTTTTCATTGCGAAAGTTCATCAGTAAAAAAATTAACTAATTTCTTTGTCTGCTATAAATGTGTTAAATTTAACACTGCAGTAAAATGCTAAAAACTTCAAAATAGCAAAATTCAAATCACAATTTTAAAGAATCATAAATATTATAATTACAACAAAATTGTATTCGATAACACCGATTAAATAAAATACGTCTAGGATTCTACTTTTAGTTGAGAATTCATTGTTAAATGATTGCACTACTTAATTTATACTTGTTAGTCTACATTTTCAAATTAAAATTATATTTATTTTAAAATTAAATTAATAATAGTTTGATCGAAATTGCGCAATTAGGTATTAATTATCTACATAAAACGAATCCAATATAAATCTATTTTGTCGAATTCAAATTGCGACGCGCTAAATAAACTAATTTATTCGATGTGTAATGCAAGATAGAAAAGTTCAATATTTTCTGATCTGAAAAGTATAATATGTTTGCAATTATAGAGAAACTTTAACATTTAATCGTACAGAGTTACGACGTAACTTTTAGACGAACTTATCGTAGTGCCTCAACAAATTCTAATTACGATCAATCTTTTTTTCCGCTCTCTTCGCGGTATCCTTATTCAATGGGGGCGTCTAACTTCGTTCTGTACATGGCTCGACCGTATTACGGGCGTGATTACGAAAGTTGTCAACTTGATTAAATGGTTCTGCTTCGGTCGAAGTTGGCTCAAAGGGATAATCGTGTGAGGTGTCCGCCCGGAGCTACGCTAGAACTTTCTTAAACTGGACGGAGATTGGAAGACTCGTTTTCGCGAAGGGAATTCGGCGATACTGTTTCAGCTACGCGGCACCGACGTCGGCATAATTATATGCTACCGGAACTTTGTAGGTAAAACTTTGAGTTTTTCTACGTTAAAGCGAATCCTCCTCGACCTACCGTGTATCTTTTATTTTGTTGTTACGCGAACAGTGTATTAACTCTACTCTATTTAATTATGCCGCGTTATAAAAATGCAAACGCTGTTACGTACGTAACAGCTTTCGGAAATTTTTAGTAAATAACGAATAATGTACCCGCGGGAGAAACTTGAGGTAAATCCTTGTCTGATCGTATATATACATATATACTTAACAAGGGAAAGTGGTGCTCATTAAAGGGGAGTTTTACTGATTTATGAGTATTCAGGGACAAGGATTGTTGCGAATAATACAAACATAAATTTACTAATACTTACAAATATTACATAAAAGAATGATTGTGCTAAAATATCTAAAAATTTAGTTATAAATACAGATCTAAAAATAATTTGCTGAATTATCAAAATAATTATATAGGACGCTCAAACTAAAAAGGTTACTAAAAAGTCAAAATTTGTTTTGCAACATTGTTAGACATGCTTGAGTTTTCTACGTAATTATTTTCGTAGTCCAACTAAATTATTTTCAGATCTGTGTTTAACTAAAATTTGGATACTTTAGCAAAATCGTTTTTTTCCGTATAGCCGTATTTGCATGTGGCAGTCTAATATTTAGACGAAATAAATTTTTCATATAAAGTTCCAAATCAGAGAATGCAAAGCGTTAATATTTTTGATCAATAATTATCATGCGCGACTCAGTTTCTACGCGAGGGAGTTTTACTGGTGAGATTTATAAGCACGGAAATGAAATCAGAAAATGAGTCCCGCGCGATCAAGGGCACTCTGTGACATGAATTCGGGGAGGTAGAAGCGAGGTTTAAACATCGTCGCCAACAGGGTCGGTTATTAAATCGTGCGGCTATAAATTGCCGCGCAATTTCCCGCGAAACTTAGTCAATTTCCACGAACGTGAATTCACGCGCCCGTACCAACAAGTATTTATACGCGTACGCCTATTTGGTATGCATTTTGGATTACTTTTTAATCCGCGGCACCGCGGTTCATTTCCAGATTGTCACACATTTCTGTACTTTATTAAGCATTTGAAAAGAAAGAAGATAATTGTAGTCAGACTTCCAATTATTTAAAGTGAATTAGAGTGATGAATTAGAAGTCCATGCGAATGGCGTGATAAGATCACATAAAAATAAATTACACAATCCTTTCTTTGCTTTTAACAAGTGGCTGCCATATAAATCTATAATTAAGAATTAGAATTCTAAGATTTTATAATCCTATACGACATAGAATTTAGAAGCTTACCTATGCAGCTCACTTAGATCTCAAAGGGCCAATCAGTCTAATGTGAATTTGTACCTAGCCTTAATGTGAGTTAGAAGATCAAGCCATGCCTGTGGGATACCGTCGACGGAGGACGCTTCGTTAACAGGTGATCGTAATGTAGCCTGTATCGTATCGACAACGACGTTTTCCATGCCGGCGTGAAGTCGTGTAACTTCGTTTGACAGTGTAATCATTCTCCCGACGGGACGATGTAATACCGTGGGATTGATAGTTCCGCAGGTGAACTCTATCCTCGAATAGCAGATACCGGGTTCGACGTCGAAGCTAACCCATTTTTTTCTACTGCAATGCGGCACGATGCAACTAAGTATTACATTACGTTACTCGACCCGCTATGACTAAATATCTCATCGTAAGTGCCTTTTCGTGTGAAGTATTTTTATTGCGCTTAACTTTTCAGTATGCCCGCGTGCACTCTGATTTATTGACGTTATGAACAGACTTTTGAGTACAACTTTAACAAAGAAATTTATATCGAGCGCGACGATCCACTCACACTCACAATTTTTTACACCGAAAAAATGTAACGTTTACATATAATATATGTAAACTAAATAAAAATTCTATTTAATATTCCCCAAATGATCAATTTTTAATGTATATAATGTAATAGAAACATTTCATGTTTCCACTAATAAAAGCGGAAAATTATATGCAGAAAAATTGAAAACTTTACATAAATTATAATATTTACAAAAAGCATGTATGTGTGTGTGTGTGTGTGTGTATATATATATATATATATAGGACGTTCCATATATAATATATAAAATTAAAATGTACTTAATTAAATTGTGATTTTTTTTTTAATTTTTAAATGCGATAATTTTATGCGAGATTCACGCGACAGTACGACATCACACTTGAGTAATGTCAAATCGTGGAACTCCACGTCGTTGGGCGACTTCATCATGATTGGTCGTTAATCGAGCGTCCCTTGAACATTAGCTTATCGTTCGACCCATTAAGATCGGAATGATTAGAGATACGCCACGGTATCTATACTGTGCACAGTGTTATCAAAGTCCACACCGAGATATGCCTTGTAACCTGATCGTTCACTAATCAGGACTTCGGACCTTCTAATTTGCAACAAACTTGAAACACGCGAACCCGAATCTACCTTTGATATTAATCCATGCCCGTTTTCGAAAATATCCGCTCGATCTGGTCTTCATCCTGAACTTTAACAAACTTTATTGATCCATTCAGCCTTGCATTCAGCACTTACATGCCGGTTAACAGTTTTCATCAAGTTCTTTGGTCATCGTAATTAGAACTTTTAAGTTTAGTTAAAATCGAACCAGAATTTATAAAAGTATTAACGTTTAATTGCACTTGCATATATAAGTGATAGGTATACTTATAATTATGAAAATAGCTCTTTCAAATTTATAACATTTTCCACAATCCTAAATAACAAATTGCAATTTAATTTACGTGAATCATTTAATGTAATTAGTATACCTAATTTTTAAGACACTTTGTATTCTTTATATAATTTTTTTGAATTATTAATAAATATAATTAAATTGTTAATAAATTGCAAGGATATAATTATTTCAATTAAATGATCAAAGAATAATATCATTCAGTTATTTATTAAAGATTTATTTACAAAAATTAACATTTCCAAAGAAACGTAAAATTTTATTTTACGTAACATTAGCTTATTACGTAGGAGTTACAGTTTCTTTATCGATTCTTTGAATTACAATTCCACTATTGTCATTTAATCACACCTTTTAACTTTATCAAAATGTGTTTCACAGAAATGTTACTGCATGCACGTGAAATGAACATCTCATTTGACGTAGACACGTAAACAATTATTTGCTAGAGTTCTGATGAAAATACCGCTTTGCTAGGCGCTCAATAGGTCAAACGTAAAGGGAATCAAATATGGCGAGCACGAAAGGGCAGGTAGTTATATGCATGGATGGTTGAGGGAATGTGTACATATAACAGAAATGACACAGTTAAGGTTCATCCAAATTGAAGCACGCGTATACTACAACGGTATGACTGTGTATCGCCCTCAGCTTAAAAGCTTCCTGTTTAAACTTGTGCAACTTCTCAGCGCGTATACATGTCCCAGAGCTATTTCACTTTGTTCAGGTTTTGTTGACAGTCTCACAGACGATCCTCTCGTAATAAAAATTTGGATGTTTTATTGCATTTTATTACATTGTTTTTTAATCATTTTGTTCTTAATATTTTTCTCCCTGCAGTTAAGATAAGGATAATTTTAAGTAAATCAAAATTGATATTAAATTAGGCAGAAAGATTGTTAGACAAGCAATATGTTTACGTCTTATGATTCAAATATGAAACGCTTTATACGTATATGGAGCAAACTTCATTTAATATCGTGCAAAGAAAGGGGATATATAAATATTTAAGTTTAAATTAATTCAAATTCACATTTAGGTGATTTGTAAGTTAATAGATTATATTCATATTGTGTAATTTTACATCAAATATAACTTCTAACATCTCTTCTCTGATTCTGTCTTTTGCTACAGCCTGTATAACACAAATACGATTAATGCCAAATTTTACAACATCCACTTATGAATATAATTAACCTTTATTATTACATATTGACCTACGCCCCATAAAATTGCGAATCGAAACGCACGTAAGAACCATACGTTTTGCTACGAGCATGTCGCTTATGTATGCTGCGCTCGTGAGAGAATAAAAGCAGCCGAGTACTCAGAGTGTCACTTTATCGGACTGACTATAATTCCGAACGATTTCCGCGGGGCGACTGAAACAACCGAGAAGCTCGTTTGTAGCGCTCGTACTGCCACCATAAATGTCGCTCCGAGGAAATCGAGTTCATCTTAAATCGTCGCTAAAGTTCCGTTGTTCTACGAAAGAAAAAACATAAACGACGACGGTATATTTGCAACAGGACAATTGCTAATATCCGACTTCTGCCCGATTATAGGCGTCCAATCGAGGACTAAATTAGATAATCTTAAAAGGAAGGAAATTTCAAATTTCTCATTCTTAGATTAGATCAATTTTACAACAGCTTAACTCACGCCACGTTAATTTAATTATTTTGATCATACGAATATACATAACGACTATAAAATGTCGGATATATTTGCAAAATTGATTAAATATTATAATTTATTTAGTAATGCATCACAAATTAGAAATTTTTGTCTCGGACATTAAGTATGATAGTCATCGATTCTTCCGGTGCGGTGTTAATAGATCTATTACGACGTTAATTGAAGTATCCGACCGAAGCCAAAAGTTTCAGATTCATTAATGTTTCACACATCGCAAGTTACCGGGCTGCAAATTGGGTCACGTTTAGTCGTGACGAATCTAAGACGGTATCTCTCTTGTTGAAACATTCAATCCTAGTGAGAAGTTAGGTGATACCCTGTGTTCTTCATGCTAATAACGTAATAATAGCAAAGCTTAGACCTTTAGTTAATTAATCACAGCTCGACGTAACAAGAGGAAGTAGGATAAAAACGGAACAGATGAATCAAACTGGACATCTGTCTATTATAACTGAGATATTAATCATCCAATTATAATTTTATAAAAAAATATTTGAAAATTACTACGATTATTGAAATACACAGCTCGTAAGTGTAATGTTAAAGATGAAGTGTTGAATCAAAATTCTATGAAATTAACATCGAAATTTAGAATACATGATGGTTTATAAAGAACACATGGTTTATGTATTTATTTCTTCGAAATTTAGTTTGTAAAGAATCATTTTTTTTTATCATTTCTAGCTTTAAAACTATAGATATTCTTATTAATGAAAATTTCATGTCAAATTTATTAATCTTGTTGACATTATACATTAAAGATTGTTTTAAGGATTGTCCCCATCAAGTGGAAGGGGAATTGATGTTATAACAATAAACTACAATCATATTCTCTTATTGACGCAATGCCTCTTATGCAGCATTATATTACTACGGAAGCTATTTACGTAACAATTAGTTTGTATTTGCAGTGTTTATCGTTGAAAATAGAACAATAGTAGTAATATTACCATTTCAATCGAGATATTGGGTTTCTCTGTCTTTCACGAAAATGGATAGATGTCTGGTTTGATTTACCTAGTTTTACTTACATTTCTCTTATCGAAGATATATCAATATCACGATTATATACACGAAAACTATACATACATTTTACTAAAAATAACAGTCTCTTACTACTTAAGGAGTTGCATCCGCTGTTAGGGATATTAATTATTATTACGTAATGGTCTGTTTTTGCATTTCCAGTGTAAATCGGCAAACTCGCTAGACCAGAACCCGAGAACTATTAGGATCTAAAGTTTAGTGGTAAACTATCAGAGAATTATGCTGCAGCATGTTCTCTCATAAATGATATTGTTGATATCATAGTATTGCAACTTTCGGCTCTATCATCATATATATTCCTCTGTCATCATATATTCCTCTACTGAACTTTGAACGAAACGCCACGGATATTATAGTACGAAATAAATAAGTAGAACAGCGTTAACGGAGTAGATACGCTTTTTGTTTTAGAAAGCCTCGCTTTTTCTTGTTCATAATAGGCGAGATTAACCTCGGACCAGCTGCAGGTACATCCAGCGACAGCTTATTCCGCCATTCTGTTCCATCTACGTCTCTTTTTCTCGAGCGTGCCAACTGCCAGACGGTGGCAATCGGATAGCAAAAGAAGTTAATTGAAAATAAGATAATACCCGGTAGCGTTGGTCGAAACCGGGGGATGATGGGGCACGACGAGCAAGACTGGACTGCAATCCCTTAATTAAGTCGAGCTTTCTACTTACACGTGCGCCGGAAAATTACATGCCAGAATTATTCTTCTTTGAATAAAAGTATCGACATAATAAAATTTAGAAAAAAAGTTTGTTGACTTACGTCAATTGTTTATAATTGCTTTTGCATATTTGCATTAATTGATTTAATAAGTTGCCAAAAGTAATATAAACATTAAACAATAAATTTTCCTTTCCTTATAAAAAATTTTAAGGCTTATACTTTAATATTCTCTGTGACAAAATTCTTTCGTTATAAAGATGAACAATTTTATTATTTCCCTTTTTAATTAAAAAGTCATAACAAAGTTTCAAATAAATAAGAATACTTTAAAAAAAGATATTACATGAAAATATCGTGAAGAAATCTGTTTAGAATAAAAAAAATTAAATTTTAATTAATTATTCATTATATCAATACATTCCGTATTTTGTTATTTTATATTTTTTATTTTTATTTAAATATTATTTACTTTAGTTTCTTTATTCTTTCATTAGTTTCTTTATTCTTAATTATAATAAATTAAGCTAAAATATTTTTATGTTGTTGAATATAAACTTTTTTTAACTTTTTTGGAGAAGGGAGGGAGACAATTTTAATTATTATTAAAGATATTCCGGAAAGATTCTCTGAGATACGGTAGTCGAAATTCACCTGATTACAGGTTAGTGCGGAAATTATAATAACGTTACGTAAATTAAAAATAATACGATGAATTTTTTTTTATATTTACCCATCCAAATTATCAAGCACCGACTATGAGATAATAGTAAAGCCAAGAGTGGAAGCACGGTAATAACAACGATAAGTTTCGATTTATAGTCTCCAGCACTATATGAATAACTTTACATAACATAAATATGCTAATCGCAGCCATAAAATTTCAATCGTGCGGTTATAGCAAGTTCGTCCGCCGCGAGTTTTCACTCGCAGCACCCGCGAACTGGAGTACAAGCAGCACAGGACGAATATAAAATACATGAGAGCAGACGCAGTTTCTTTTTTTCCAAGAGAGAATGATAATAACTCCCTGGATTGTTGTTGATTTATTCTTATTACTCTCTTTATTCGAGTGAATTCCGAAATCGAAGATATGTTAACCTGAGTATTTAAATTACTCAGTCGGTCTTATTTCCGTGTACATAAGTGAGCTGATTTAATTAATCTATTTTCCAAATAAACGATTCTAACAAAAGTTCGTTAATAATATTCTGCTCACCATATTTTGTGTGGTAGATGATTTTTTGAAAAAATGTAAATTTAACATTTTTCTGCTCAAATAGTAAAATTTCAATCGCAATTTATTCTCACCGAACAAGTTTTCACTTCTCAGGGCGAATTGCCTTCGCATGAATCGTCGGAAACGAATATAAAGCGCAGACGCGGTCGTTTCCTTTTTTTTTTCGCGAAGGAGCCGAGTGGTACACCGGGGAAATCTACCGAGTAGTTATTAAAATTCCATCCACGTCGTGATCGCGCAACGACGAAAACAATCTCGAACGCGGCGGATTTTTGCTACCAATTTTTCTCGCCGCACGTTCGCCTATCCAAATTGGAATTTTCAGCTGAGAGGCGAGCATTATCGCGAATTATACTTGCTCCACTGTCCATGGGTGGCTCTGACGCCGCGGGTATCATTAAATTATATGCGATGAACGAAAGTACTTATCATAACGGCCGTATAACGATAATATCTTTTATCTTTAAGCTGATAAAAGTTTTCATCTTAATCTAAAAAAATCTATTTTGAATAATTATTTTTTGAAGAAATTAGAGATCACGCCTTAATCTTTCTTTTAAATTTTATCCCTTCTTTTCATTAAAAATTTTATGTAGATCATTGTCAAATAATTTCTAAATATAGATAGTACTCTCTTAACATACACTTATAGAAGTAATCGAAGATCGTTGTTGACCACTCCCCCTCATTTATATTTTAAATTAATATTTGTATTTTTTGTGCAAAAAGTACTACTGTAAAATTTTTTACTTTCTAATCTTTTATTACTGATGAATTATTTGATTTTTTTCATCATTTTATTTTTATAATTTATTCGCTTGATTGTTTTAATAACTAAAAAACATTACATATGGATTCATAAATCTATTATTTAGTTCATTTAAAGATGTTTCTATAAAAAGTATAACAGGATATGTAAAATAGAGCTGATCTAAATCTGTTATTTCTTTACATTCACAACATTATGTATTTATCCAACATTCTAAAAGCTCTTATCTACACCTTTCAGAATGCTTACATTAATCTTCACTCTTATGTTAGAAATGTCAAGAGAACAATTATATATTTGAAATAATACTAAACGCAAGAGATTCAAAAGAGATGGAAATTATAGACTGTGAAAATTATGAAAATGTTGATATTTCTCAGTATTGTAGATAATTATATTCAATCTTCGCGTTATATTTTAATCTGTAATTCTGGAATATTGTCTATATCTGACAAAATTTTCGGAAGAATAGCTCGACCGGTAAATGTTCATAAGCTAGCTGACTACCTCTCGAGTGGAATGGCGAGTTTCGCTATTTCTGAACAAATTCGGTCATCGCGTGTCTCCTCTCGGTACAACCCACTGATATCGCGAGCCATGGCTTTTATTATTTTTCAACCGACGAAGTTTTCTCGCGAGCGCGCCATGGAATTACAACTATCCTCGAAAAGACATCTTCGTCGGGCTTTGTTTGTAATTTCCATGGAACGAG